GGGAAGGGGCAACGGGAAGAGCAGGAAAGGGGCAACGGGAAGAGCAGGAAAGGGCGCAAGGAAAGACGGGAATGGGCGCGAGGAAGAGGAGGGAAAGGGCACGAGGAAGCTCTAGGAAGCTCCGGGAAGCTCCTGGAAGCTCCAGGAAGTGCCAGGAGGCCCCAGGAAGCTCTGGGAAGCTCCAGGAAGCGCCGGGAAACTCCTGGAAGCTCTGGGAAGTGCCAGGAAGCTCTGGGAAACTCCAGGAAGCACCAGGAAGCTCCTGGGAGCTCCAGGAAACTCCGGGAAGCTCCTGGAAGCGCCGGGAAGTGCCAGGAAACTCTGAGAAGCTCCAGGAAACTCCGGCAAGCACCAGGAAGTGCCAGGAAGCTCTGGGAAACTCCAGGAAGCTCCCGGACGCTCCGGGAAGCTCCTGGAAGCTCCTGGAAGCACTTGGAAGACCAGGGAAGCTCCGGGAAGCTCCTGGACACTCCAGGAAACTCTGAGAAGCTCCTGGAAGCTCCAGGAAGCTCCTGGAAGCTCCGGGAAGTTCCGGGACGCTCCGGGCCGCTCCCGGCCGCGGCACTCACTTGAGCCACTCCTTGATGGGGTCGAGCGAGGCCACGGGGATGGCGTTGATCATGGTGACCTTGCGGCCGTAGTCCTTGTAGACCACGACCATGTCGAAGTTCTTGAGGTGGAACTGCACGCGCTCAAAGTGGATGAGCTCCACCTCGTCCAGCGTCACCACGAAGGGCGGCTGCGCGGGGACGCGGCCCGGTCAGCGTTGGACCCGGGTCAACATCGTCCCCAACTCAACATTGTCCCCAAGTCAACGTCATCCCCAGGTCAACGGCGTCCCCAAGTCAATGTCGTCCCCAAGTCAACGTTGCCTCCAAGTCAACCTTGTCCCCAGATCAACCTGGTCCCCAACTCAACATCGTCCCCAAGTCAATGTCCTCCTCAACTCAACCTTGTCCCCAGCTCAACCTTGTCCCCACATCAACGTTGCCTCCAAGTCAACCTTGTCCCCAACTCAACCTTGTCCCCAGCTCAACGTTGGCCCCAGCTCAACCTTGTCCCCAAGTCAACGTCATCCCCACGTCAATGTCGTCCCCAAGTCAACGCCCTCAACTCAACCTTGTCCCCAGGTCAATGTCGTCCCCAACTCAACGTTGCTTCCAACTCAACGTCGTCCCCAAGTCAATGTCCCCAACCCAACGTTGTCCCAACTCAACCTTGTCCCCAACTCAACGTCCTCCCCAACTCAACCTTGTCCCCAAATCAACGTGGTTCCCAACTCAACATGGTCCCCAAGTCAATGTCCTCAACTCAACCTTGTCCCCAACCCAACGTTGTCCCCGACCCAACGCCGTCCCCGTCACTCACCCACTCGGTGCAGTTGACCAGGGCGCTGCTGGTGGGCTGCAGCAGACACGTGCTGCGGTACGGCGCCCCGTTGAAGCTGCCGGGACAACGG